GCGTTTCAGTGTGCCTCTTTTAGAGGCTCTGCTCTGAGGCTGCCCTGTTAGAATAATACTTTGGTGCATAAGTAAGCAGTGTTTGCAATTCCCTGAGATGCTTTCCATCGCGACAGATAGGGTATCTTCTGTTTAGTGTTGGAAAAATTGGGCACTGACAAACATCCCTTTTTGCTCTATGAAATACAGAACTGGAAGGAAGTAATAATTCACGCTGAGTTCCAATTAATGGCTGAAATTGTATGCTACAAAGCTGATTGGAATACTTGTTTTTTTGTTAATTCAGGATTAATTTGTGATTAATAACTACGGATTTATTATGGTGTAGCTACAACTAACTTTAAATGTAATTTTATGTGAGCTATTTTTGCTTTACACAATCATAATTTGCTTACTCACTGGTACTGGAATATTACTTTAACATTTTACCCAACTTTGTTAAAACTACAGGGTTTTTTGTTAGCTAAACCCTCTATATTTGGAAGTAATATAAATTCTGTTTCAGTCTGATACGAGGCCTGTGAACATCCGTTCATCACATTCAATTCAAATAGGGTATTCTAATATGCTAACGAGCACTCCAATTAATGTGGCAAAAACTTTGAAGATACATAGTAATTATTTTTTTTGTTTCCTAATAGCTTTCAGGGAAGATGTCTGAAACTTACTTTCTTCTTAATCTCAAACTGTTGGAGTGAAAATGCTCATTTTTAGTTAGGGGGAAATTTCATTAGTGGTCTTTGTGCACTGGGAAGCTGGAACTACAGTCTGTAGGTATATTGTGTTTCAGGTATGGGAAGTATAAGATACAAGAGCCCAAATCTAATAGCTCTGTTTAAGAGGTTTATGATGCTTGAATAAGTGTTCGTTTAAGTACAGCATATGAAGTTAAAGTATTATACTTTATATGACGAAGATCGTAAAATCTGAACAAGGCCCAGTGTAGCACTAACAATCTGAAGAGGTAAAAGCATCCCAAAGTTTAAGTCTGTTGTCTGGCGTGGAGTTCCTTTGGAAAATTTCTCTCTGGATTTAGCACTCACTTGGATGATCCTGGGATCCTCTAGCCAGTTCTAATATAGATAGTTCAAAAAAGTTGTTGAAAAACCACAGATGGTTCAGTCAGGAGTCTTTAAAGGGTTGAAAACACACATTTCAGTGAAAGATATTCTATCCTCTGTAGCTCATTCAAGAGGTTAAGAGGTGACATCCTCAAAAATTGAAAAGGGAGAGATGTTGAATGCGGAAGGTAGAAAGGAGGCAGACGGCTTGCCGGGGGAGAGGAGACAAAGGGGTTTATAATTCACCCATTAGCGCTTGCTGGCGAGCCGTGGGCTTTGTGTGTGCGTGGGGGCTGCTGTGCCAGCCCTGTTCCCTGGACAGTCATCGGCACCGGGCAGAAGCGGAGCAGCGTACCACGGCTTGCTGGCCATTGCTGGAAAATCTTAAAGTGGGGGGGTTCAGCCTAAAAGAGAAGCTGTGCACCACCTTGTGATCTTGAAGATGGAAATAATTCAGAGGAGTCCTGTGGTCTTAAGTAATGGAGGAGGTCTTATGGAATTAGCACAAATCCTCTCTCCTGTCCTTAAAATCTGTCAGTGAGGTATGTCTTGGCGGATCTGTTGGTTGGTTTACGATGCACCTCTGCATCGCGGCGTAGCAGCTCTCTAGCGCAGCAGACCAGCTCGGCTCAGGAAATCAGTCGTCAAGGTTTTATCATCAGAATGCAGGTGCTGCAGTGGATAACAGAAACTGGTGACGTGGGTTTTGGTTTCTGTTTAAGACAGCAGCTTGCGTATTTTTTTCTGTTCACCCCTAAACTGCTTGTTTTGGCTGCCCAGAGAACATTTCAGAATGATTGCTACAATTATAAGCCTGTAACATCAAGCCTTAAAAACCCAAAGAATTTAAAGATTTTATAAATGGAAAAAAAAAGTACTATTGTGTAGCGTATTTTTTGAGTCTTAAGCAGAACTCCAGTTCTTGACCCTCCAGCAAGCTAGGGGAGAGTGACTGGAAGCACTTCTGTTGTAACTGAAGCCTGGTTAGCAGTGACTGTTGGCCCGTGTTTGGACTGCGAACTGTGGCGATGCTGCTGCAAATTACCCTGCCCCGGGTTTGTACACTTAGTGGAAAAAAAAAAAAAATCACCTCCATTGCTAGTTAGTATTGGTGTTAGTGAGGTTCGAGTTCTGGTGAAGGTCCTTGCTTCAGACAGGAACGGCGGTGGCAATCCTGCAGACTGAAGGCTCTTTCCTTTCTGTTCCACCTTTGGAGAGAGGAGGAGGATGCTTTCCGTGTGAAGGTCATCGGCTGAGACCCAGGGTTCATTTTCCAGCTCTGTAGCAACCTGTTTATTCTCTCTGTGGCTGTCTCTCATCTGTAAGACTCTCTAAACCATTCCCCCTTCTGTCTCTTTGTAAGGCCTTTAAAGAAGGGGCTGGTTAATCAGACCGAACAGGAGCTTCCAGCACTGGTATCACAGTCGTAACTGCATTTCATAAGGATAAACGTATTCCAGACACAAGTACCTCAGAATGTGGTTTGACTGTGGGTATTTCACTGTATACAAGTCCAAGGGGAAGTTGGTCAAAACCCAGAGTTTTCTGTCTTTGAGGAATTTTGTA